CGGATGTCCGTACTATGGAAAATGTCGAGACACATCTGCACAGAAAATGCATTGCAGCCACTTATACATAGGATCGAAGTTTTTCAGTCATTGCCTACCACACTCAGGGCAACAAGTGACCCTCGGAATGAAGATCAACTTGAACACAGAGTATTTAGTGAGGCTCAGCTCTGCAAACGCCACCCCAGGTTACCTGAGTTTCTTAGACTTTTCGTTGTAGACATTTTCAAGTGCACACAGGCCACGTCGAACTCGGTTACGAACTTTTTCAGGGAGTGCTATAGATCAGGTTCAGAACATGCGAATAAGACAAGTTCGTCTGCAAACTAACCGCAAATTTCTCTCCTCCGTACCTTTTATTCTGCAACACTCGCCACCCTGGCTGCGCCTGATTATTTCATCCATTTATTACACAACTAGGAGAGGGGACAAGACACACCCTTGGCGGAAACCAGTGCCAGCAATTGAAGGTCTCGATGCTACTTACTCTGACGCAGAATCTGCCATCAACGTATAGCGACTGGATGGCTCATGGCAAGTTGCCATCGATTCAATATGTTTACAGACACGCCAGTGGCATTTGCTCAGGATCAGGTTATAGGCTTTCTCCATATCCACAAAGTACATGAAAATCAGACAAGCGAACAACACGATTTTTCAGAAAGCTAGCGCAAGACGAAGATCTGGTCAGAGGGGCTTCGGCTTGACCTGTGGCCGAACTGATCTTCTTGTATCTTAGAATAAGTTATTCTGCAGCAGCTTCTTTTTAACATCTATGCATAGATTTTTCTAGGGAGGCTCAATAAAGTAATTTCTATGGATTGTAGGATTGGTAATTGGAATACTACATATGGCCTCCATTCTTGAACAGGGCTACAACACCGTTATCCAACCTACTGGTGTTTTCGCAGTAGTCGTTGCATTGTTGGCCACAAAATGCCTTGTTCGCATAAAGCTTTAAACTTTTCAGGGTGGATGTCATCGATTCCAGCAGCGTTGTCCATTTTCAAATCCTTTACGACAGAAAGATTAATATCCATTGCTGATGCTCTCCGAGCGAATCTTCTAAGGTTGATCTGGATTACGGAGTTCCTTACAATACTGTCATCATCGTTGAAATATGTACTCGTCTTTGGTAAGAAGGTGTCCAGATTTTCGCTTAACTGAGAGCTACTCTATCGGAAGTGAATTTTCGAATTTTAATGATTCACTGCGTCACTCTGAATG